AATATGTAATTAAATGGGTATCTCACTAGTTAGTTGATAAAACATTATGTTTTGGTTACTATTTACTATTGCATGTAACAAATTATCCAAGAGTTTAATGACGTAAAATATTTTTTTTTTCCTTCATGTTTTCTAGGTCAGGAATTTGGGAAGAGATATGTTAGGCAGTTTGTACTTAAGACTTCCACACTGGTGCAGTCAGATGTTGGCTGAGACTGTATTCATATGAAGATGAGCTGGATTAGACTTCCAAGATGACTCATTCAGCTGGATAGAAGCTGATGCTGGCTGTTGGCAAAAAGCTCATCTGAGACTGTCATTTATATCGGCGCATGCTGACTCTCTAACGTGGTATTCTCAGAAATTTGGACTATCCACCTGATGGTTTCTCCTTGAACAAACGTGCCAGCGGACCAGGGAAGAGAATGCCAGATCTTTCCTGAACTAACCCTGGAAGGCATAATGCCTCACTCTCACAGCATTCTTTTGTTCAGTCAGTTACAAACCACCAAGATTTAAGGAGAAAGAATGTGAGGAGTGTGAAGGAATTTGAAACCATGTAGTAAAATTGCCTTACCTCCCATCGATTTCTGTAAGGTGAATGTTATAGTGGAAAAACCAAAGGGAATTTTCTGGAATTGTGTCCCTTCAACAACTTGGTAAAGGTATTACACAAAATGAATACTCAGTTCCTGGACTTGGACTGAATGGCAGAGATTATCATCACCTTTGGAGGCCTATAGAATGCAGGACTAATAGTCTCTCTCATGCTCCCATTTACTTTATTAGTGTAGACTCTATAAAAGCCAGATGGATCTTAATGTTTGACAGTGGATAACCAAAAATTGAACCAAGGAATAGCTCCAATTGCTGTTATTGTGGTAGAAATTGTTAGAGCACATTAAAATAACTTTAGGTATATGATATAGTGTCATTATCTGAAGAATACATTATTTTTCAGCCCTGTCAAGATGATGAATCAAACACAATGGCTTTTACATGGTAAGAATAAGTGTAAATATTTATAATCTTGTTCTAGGCCATTTTAGCTTTCCTTCTCCCTGTGGCATTGCAGTTCAAATAGACAGGATTCTGTCGATACCCTATAGGATATTACTATATATTTGGCATGGTGTTAATTGGACATGATGAATGATAGGTAACATGTCATGCACTTAGGTAAAAATCTTATAGTCCAGAAGGTGAGAGATTTAAAATCTCTGAAAATTTAGGGGTTACCAATATTAGTGAGATGCTTATGGGTCCAGTTTACTGAAACATAACAAAATATACTGTCTATAATAAAGGACAAATTATTGCAAATAGTACCCCCCCATCACTCATGAGGAAGTATGGCCATTATTTCACTTCTTGAGTTTATGAAGATAGCATGCTCTACGCTTGGGGGTATTTCTTTAATTGGTGATAGAATAGGCACATTTGGGTAAGAAATTGTGTAAGAAAAGATTTTATAGCAGTGACTCCAAATTATAATATAAACTAGACTGCAAGTGGACTTACAGCTCAGGCAATATAACTCAGAAGACTCAAACAATGGCCCTCAGGCCAAATCTTGCCAGCTACCTGCTTTTCCAAATACAGTTTTGTCAGAACACTGCAGTGCACATACATACTATCTTTGCTTTCATGCTATATCAACAGGGTTGTAACATAGGCAGCTCTTGCTTTGTATGGTTCTGTTGTGTGCAATTTTCTGTTTTTACAATTTAGTTAGATAACACCAATCTCTCACAACATGGTTCAAGTCTCAGTTACCATGGTATATTAGCTGTAATTGAATAAAGTACAAACATTGCTGTTAGCTTTTCAGTTTCCCAATTGCTATGCAAATAACAGAGGCATATCATAATTAGTGACCATCAGCAAGTGATCACTGAACATCCACTATCCAATTTAAAAAAACGGGAAATTATGTTGTTGCATTGCTTCCTTGTTTCCTATATAAAAACTATATCATATATAAAAAGAGCATCATCAGAAGAAAGAGTTGGCCAAAAATCAGAAGATGCATCAAAGAAATAGAAATAATACCAGCAGTGAAATTTGAACATAATGTAATAGAGCTAGAGAAGCAAGAGATGACTATGAATTGACCCCACTGCTGTTAGAGAGGTTCTGCATACAAAACTGGAGAGATCTGATGGAGAACTTACGTAACAAGTGGTTGTGATGAAGAAAAAATGAATATTTTCAATGAAAATGTCACGGACAAAATCGTCACAATAAAGAAACTCTTGGAAATACTTTATAACATTAAAAAATTCCTGAAATATTGAAAAAACAATGCAAAGAGGCATGACAATGCACCAAAGCACAGAAAAAATTCCACTTTATATATTTAGTTATAAAACAATAAGGATTAGTCAAACTACTACTAAGTATTTTTTAAATTAATCTCTTTTATTTTGAGATAACTTTAAATTCTCATCCAGTGGTAAAAATAATGCAGACATCCCATATACCCTTTACCCAATGGTAGTGTCTTCTAAAATGTTAGTACCTTACTACCACATGATAAGCTTTATATGAAGAAGCAAAGCAACTTGATTCTCAAAGATTTCAAAATTAGAAATTACAGCATAATATTAATTTTACTGTCTTGGACATTTCTGTATATTTACAACTGACTATGTCTGTTTTATGCTTTCACAATTTTAGAGGCTACAAAGCAGTCAAAATTTTACCCATTAATTATTAAAATTATTTTCTATTGTTTCAAATTGCATAGTCATTTTTCCAGTGCTGTTTTCACTTACCATGCAAAGCCAGGGATTCCTACCATTGTGACAGAGGCTGTATAACCCGCAATCCTAAACTATTTACAATTAGGTTCATTGTAGAAAAAAATTGCCAACCCCGGCTTTATGGTGTTAATTTACCCTTTAAGAATTCTGGAAAATTACCTTTATCAGGGAACATCATTTGTTAGAATCCTTATTTTTTAAAAATGGAAAAGATTTAGAAGCTGACAAAGAGTTACACCTTCAGTAAAAATAAGCAACTATTTGAAGTTAAAGGTATTTAAAACTACAAAACTTCTAACATTAGAAGAATGTATTATAGTAGTCATTAAAACAGGATGGATTCTATTGAGCTATTGAATAAATTGTGTCTCTCCCCACCCCACACACTTCATCCAGAGTATGTCTGGAATTATTTTGTTTTTGCTTTTTCCATCATGTCTGTATAAAAAAACGTGGAAAGATAAGAATTGTATGGTGCTGAGATTTCAGGACAGTTCTTTTTAAACTTACTTTTTTGTTAATCTGTCTAGTTTAATAAAAGCAATTACATTTTACTTGTACAAGAGTTCTGAGATGGAAGGATTTATATTTTCTCTACTTTGCCTATAAAATATCTTTAACAAAGGAAGTTCACTTTGTACACTTACATTAAGACACTGTGAATAATTTTGAAAAGTTGAAGAAAATTCACTTCACAGAGAAGATTTTTTTAATTAACTCTTGGGTTATTGAGTAATTAAGGGATCACTAGTTATGTGTGAATTTACATTATTATTGCAGAATTTTAAAGTACATGACAAGTGATGACATTACTTTTACTAATTTTTAAAATAAGAATCAGAGGGCCTTTTAAAAAATAAAAATAAGGTGCAAGGTGTTAAGACGCAATCTATGAAGCAATCCACAGCCACTGTAGCATGAGTTCGATCCCAAGCCAGGAAGCCACTCACATGGCACAGCAGACCTCTCCTGTCTCACCTGCTGCTCCCCTCAGCAGTGTATTTCAGTCAGTCTGCCTGTTCTGTTCCCCACTCTGTCTCTGGTAAATCCTCTCACCCCCAAAGCCTCTGGCCCATACCCCAGTTGTTGTGTGCATAAATAAAATCTTTAAAAAAATAAAATAGACTACACCTGAGGGTGTGGGGGGAAACAAATATTGTTTAAAAATGAACAATGATGTAAAAATATTTAAAAAATTATTTTAAAAAGACAAAAGAAAAAAGAAAAAGAAAAATTAGAGTTGTAGAAGGATAGAAGGATCTGAGTTTTATATGTCACTACCTATGTGCTCCTCTTTGTCTGCAATAACTTAGTGTCACCATCATCAACTTGATGCTGAAAAAAGCATTGGGCTGAAAGTAATTGCCATTAGAAAGTGTTATTTGGGCAAACTTACTTGAACAATACACACACAAAGTTAGGTATGCAAAAAAACGATGAAGAAAAAGAGGAGCAATAATTTTCACACCACTAAAAGATCTACTGAGATATTTTTCTTTCATTTATTTTCACCTTGCTCTGTGACTTTGGGAATGTACTTAACACTTTCAATCAGCAGTTTTCTCATCTGTAATATGAAGGTAATAATAGTATTTACTTTAAATGTTATCTGTAATGAAAATAAAAAATGCTTGTAAAAAAGCTTAATACAAAGCTTTGTAAAAAGTACTCCAAAAGTTATTATGGCCTGTAAATGAGCTCTGAGGTCAGTCAGCAGTCACTTTAAAAATGCTAACTATAATTTGATGTTCATTGGTATTATAGGAGCCACTTGATGTAGTAAGCAGTCAGAAGCCACTTTACCTATTGACCATGATCTGCTTTCTGAGACAGCCAGGTGACTACCTTGCGCTTTTTATCAAATTAGTGTCCTTTTATCCTCCTAGTGCAAAAATATAAGGCACAGAATAACAGGGACATTGTAGGTTGGGGAATAAAATTAGTAAAAAAATAAAAGTGCACATACAGAGTAACGTCTCTGTGTAGCAGTTTCAAATAGAATGTCTAGCAAAAGAAGGCTTGAAATAAAAGTGTTCTTCTCCATGATCAAATTATTAGTCTTTGGAAATAGGAACTCTTCTTTCATTCCAACAAAATCATTCATCATTAGACCAGAGAAACTTGACACACAGTTGCTTTGCTCAGGGTGTACTTCTATTTAATATCTAAAATGTAGGAAACTGAAAACAAAAAAAATTAGTCTCCCAGACTTTGAGAAGCATCAGTCAGCCTAAAATGAGGTGGGAATTATGTGGTCTTAAAATATATTCTGTTTTTGCCCTGGACCGGCTCAAGGTGTTTGATGGGATCCCGCCACCCTATTACAAGAAAAAACGGCAGGTGGTTCCTGCTGCCCTCAAGGTAGTGCGGCTGAAGCCCACCCGGAAGTTTGCCTACCTAGGGCGCCTGGCTCATGAGGTTGGCTGGAAGTACCAGGCAGTGACAGCCACCTTGGAGAAGAGGAAGGAGAAGGCCAAGATTCATTACCGCAAGAAACAGCTCATGAGGCTATGGAAACAGGCCGAAAAGAACGTGGAGAAGAAAATTAACAAGTTCACAGAGGTCCTCAAGACCCATGGCCTCCTGGTCTAAGCCCAATAAAATTGACTGTTAATTGCTAAAATAAGTAAATAAATAAATAAATAAAATATATTCTGTTTCAATAAATTCTGCTTTTAAAAGTTAATATATTAATTGATTTCAGTTCATTTTGAATAGTATTTTCTTACAGAAAACAGATAAATATTAGTAATTACCTTGTATTTTCAACATACTTTAATATTATATTTTCTCAAATATGAGAAAAAGTTGAGATGACAACAGAACTGGATATAAAATGAAATATGACCAAAATAGAGTTGAATGAAATAAAAACATTATAAATGAGAAAAATTAATATCTGTATTAGAAATAAGAAGATGAACAAGAATAACTTTTGAAGATGTTTGGTAGTATAGGTCTGCTTGTGATAAATTGTCACATCTTTTAAGATTTTTGCTGGATAAGAAATCCTAGGTTGAAGTTACTTTTCAATACTTTAAAAATGTCATCATATCACCTTAAATAGTACATATTTTTTGTCTTCTCTGACTGCTTTTAGATTTACTTATGGTTTTTAGAAATTTTATTCCAGTGGCGCCTGGTGTGGCTTTCTTTGTTTGTTCTGTTCCGGGCTCTTAGAGTCTCCAGCATCTCTAGTCTTGTAGTCTAGTCATCAAATTTTGAAAAGATTCTGCCATTTATTTTCATCAAATATTTTTTTTTCTTCTATTTCGCTTCTCTACTGACAATCAAATATTGTTTCTCAGGTGATTGATCCTCTAAAATTAAAAAAAAAATCCCTCTGTATTTCATTTTGTTTAGTTTCTAGTACTAGGTTGTTAAGCCAGTGAATTTTTCCCTTTCAATATGTAATTGCTGTTAATTTTATTCATTTTCTTTTTTAGTATTGAATTTTTTCTTTAGAATTTGCATTTAGATATGTTTTTGGTTTCACTCATTTTTCTTTTAAGGTTTGTATTTCTCCCCAATTTCTGAACATATGGAACATTATTTTTCTAGATTTCTGTTTTAAAAATGAAATTTTAATTAAAATATAAAATTAAAAAAATACTTCATCTATGTATTTTTGAGTCTGCTTGTATTAATATTTTTCTGGCTGTGTATCATATATTTTGCTTCTTAACATGTCTGGTCATTTGGATGCGAACAGTTTAAACCTATTGCACTCATTTGAATAATGTTAGGCTTTTTCTGGTATGTAGTTAAGGTACATGGAATTTGTTTAATTCTTTATATATAATTAATGTATTTATATATATTTTACATCATTTTTCATTTTTGTACAATATTTGCTTTCTTTTCTGAGGTATAGTCCCCATAGACTCCCCACCACCAATTCACCAGTGCACCACCACCATAGCCCCTTAGGTTCTTCCCATCCTTGTTTTGATCCCTCTCCCTCCCCTACCCCTGCAGGATGTCTCTGATTTATAGTTGCCTGGTGATTTTCTTTTGTTTTGTTTTTAATGTTATTGCTTTTTCCCCTGATCCCTTATTTTGTTCTCCTATATTCCTCCCATAAGTGAAACCATCTGATATTTTTCCTTTTCCTTCTGACTTATTTAACTGAGTGTAATCCCTTCCAGCTCCATTCATGTTGCTGCAAATGGCATTAGTTTATCCTTTTTTGATTGCTAAATAGTATTCTATTGTGTATATATTCCACATCTTTATCCAGTCATCTATTTTTAGGCATTTAGATTTTTTTTCCAAAACTTACCTATTATAAATAGTGCTGCAATAAACATAGGGCTGCAGGTATCCTTTTGAATTAATGTTTAGGAGTGGAATTGCTGGATCATATGATAGCTCCATTTTCAGTACTGTGGGAAACTTCACACAGCTTTCCAAGGAATTTGTTTCTTTTGAAGTTTGCATTTAAACATTGTGAGTACAGTGTGGAGAAGTCTTAAATCTGAAGCTAATTCAGTTTTATTTCTATGGTGATCATTTCTGAGAACTGCACCTTGTGTCTGAGATTGCCCCATTTTATTTGTTGGTAATATGAATCACTCCCAGGTATGTGTGAGCTTTGGATGTTTTTGTTTGTTTGTTTGTTTGTTTGTTATGATAAGACTTTGTCCAGCCTGTGTGGCTTCCTTAAACACATGCACCAATTAGTACTTACTCAGAGTTGAGTGGCCCCTATAGATCTCTCCACCTGTCCCTCTGTGCAACAACTACTCTCCACTGTTGTGCCACAAACCAGAGACTATATGAACTCTACAAAATGCTGTCTCTTCATATTAGTGACCCCCATATTCTTTGTGGGTTTTCTTTCCCTGCACAACAGCCTCCCAAACCACATATAGGCAGGGAGCTGAAGAACTGGAAGGCTCCCTGCATCTGTTTCTCTGCACTCAGGCCTCATGATCCCATGCTAACTATTGCCCCATATCTAAGAAAAATTGTTTCTAAATCTTATACATCTTTTTTCTGTTTTCTGAGGCAAGGATGTCTATCTTTTTCTGTATTTTTTAATCCAGACTTGAACTGAAAAATAATAATTGTCTTTTGATGGAATTTTTAACATATTTAGCAGACTGTAGCTTCATATACCTTTTTAAGAGATGCAAACATTTTTATTAATTGATGTAGAGAAGGCAGAAAAATATATGTGCCCTGGAAACTTTGCAAACATCAAGTAGAGAACTATGAAAAGAAAAAAAGTTGAAAAATAGACTAGTAAATATTTAAATATCTGTATGGATAATTTATCAGCCTGTCACTCAGCAAAATTTTGGTTTAGATATTAAGAACTTTTTGAGAGTAGAGATTCTTAAAAAATAATGTAGGCCAGTTAGGTAAATTGCCCTAATGCTATTTTCCCCCTTAGAAATAAAATTTTAGAAGGAACTTTTTATTTTGTCAATGATTAGAATAAAAATTCTTTAGAAAAATAATAATGAACAGGATGGACAAGTTTTTCCAAGTCCTATATTTCTGAAATGTAATTCTCACTCATCTAGGAACACTTAATAAGCTTTTTTCTATTTTTACTGATCTGTCCTCACTGTTCCTGGTTAACTGAATAATCCATTCACCATCTACACTTTGAGAGCAATGAATCATGACACATATTCTACCTGCCATTCTCCTCCTCCAGAATCTCTGTGCATCAGTCTTTCCAATAAAACAAAACAAAACAAAACAAAAAAACCTCCTTTATCCTGGTATTGTGATATAAAATTTCATTAAAAGAACTGTTTTACAGATTAAATTTATTTCTCTGTTTATCCATACTCCAGAATGTGAAAAAGCTGTGTTTTACATCTTTTGTTTTTTATTATTATTTTTAATTTTATATATTTTTACATCATTTGTCATTTGTGCACAGTGTATTCATTTCCATCTTGGTTAGAGTCCCCATGCAATTCCCACCCCTCCCCCATGTTTTGATCCTACTCCCTCCTCCCCCCGCTGTAGTGTGTCTCTGTTTTATAATTGCTTATTGATTTTGATTTTTACTTTATTATAATTAGTCTTTTTTCTGGTCCCTTATTTAGGTTTTCTAAATTCCTGCTATGAGCGAGACCATCCGGTATTTTTCTTTTTCTTTCTGGCTTATTTTGCTGATATCTTTTCTCACCTTCTTAAACAGATAGCTATTTGATATTTGTGATATTGGAGTTACCCAATTGTGAACACCGAGAGCTATATAATATACTCACATACAATGAGTGGGGCTCTGAAATTCTTTCCAGATGCCTAGTTGCAGAAATTTGATCCCTAGATGAATGTGAAATTACTATCTAGGTGAATGCCATAAAACTGCATGCAATATTTTTATCAGGGGGACCAATGTTATTTGGAAAGCCATGGTGAAGGATCACAGGGGCTATGGTGGTAGAACTACCAGGACTACACTTGAGGGGAGAAATCAAATATGTTCAAAAATGAAAAACAATATAAGAAAATAAATAAATTTAATGAAGTCATATTTATTAATTAATCTGTTCAATAAATATCTGTTCAGTATTTACTATGCTTCAGAGGCTGTTCATTTGAGTATGCATGATAAACATAAATGCCAATGATAAATATAGAGGATTGGATAACATTAACACCCGTGTTCCTTGCATTTCATATTTCCATAAAGTTCCAAATATATTACATTTACTGTGTAATAATAAAATTAAGTATTTGGTTAAGAAACCTTTGCTACTTTGATTTACCCTACTCACTCTCCTAACTTCAAGTACAAATTATCCAAGTTCTGGAAGCATGGACTTGGAATGAGAATTGAAGAATAAATTCAAACAGTGATAGAACACAGTTTTCACAGTATGATTTTTAAAAGTGTTAAGATTAATTTGATTGAAAATTAATCTGACTATAGCAGACAAGAAGCCTCACTTTCATTTTCACAGAGTCCTAATTTTATACTGGCTCTTTGGATAGTGTGTTTGAATCCTAACATCTCTCCTAAAGTAATATGTAGAATGAAGAAAGATTTTACATCTACAGTAAAAATAAGAGTTGGGGAGAAGCTTCCTTCAGCAAATCCCCTTCTACAGATGGCATCTAGTTTATGGTAGCTACTTAGTACTGAATATTTTACACTGTCAACTCCCCAAAAACATCTCAATAGAGCACTTCAGTAAGAAGTATGCTCTTGACTCTGAAAAGATGCAAGATCACCTCATTTTGAGACAAATAAAATTAGGAAATTAGGTAGTCATTTATTTGCATCTTTAGGAGAAAAATCCGTTAGCACAAGACCAGATTATTAGGACTCAAATAGTTACCTTGAATATTATACCTGGGCCCCAATAAACTCTAACAAGCAGAGCTGGTGACGTCTGTTACAGCAGTATGCATGCAGATGGGCACAGAAACAAGAGTGGAGTTTTTTAGGATGATAACTAATATACTTTTTATGAGGCAGCCTGAAATGAGAGTCCAGGGAAAGCGGCAGAAAATACTGATCAGAGAGAGGAAAATTGGTGACAAGAAGATTGGAAAGTAGAACTCATTGTAAAACAATAAATCATGGGGAAAGCTGTACATGGAGGCAGAATAAACTCCAGAAATCCATATTTTGTTAGAGGT